TGGGATAAAAACCTAATGAAGGAAAAAGAGTGCAACATTCTTCGTAATACGCTCAGGATGCCACCTCATTAAAAACCTTACCAGGAAAACCCAATGTGGGACAAACCGTGGTCAAGGAAAAAAGAGTACAGCGCGTACTTTCTCCCCCTGATGAATACATAACATGAGATCTTCTAGAGCAATAAATCCAATGTGGTTGGGTATCTTCTCATATGTAGCATAATACCATTCCTTGATCTTTGATCCTCCTAAATTGAATTTGCACCTTCAAGTCCTCACGTGAATATGTGAAATGTCTTCAATTCTCCATACTTTTGATAATAATACATGTGTTTATCTCTACATGCATCATGCCAAATATTTGTTTAAAATTGCGAGAAATATTGCCTTCTTTCGGAGGTCATATCAAATATAGTAAAACTAAGATCAATATTTGATCAAAGATTAATTAATAATGATTTGATGGCAACACGTGATATCATCATATCATCAATGTTGTTGTTCAATCTTATATGAATTAGTAATTAAATAGTTTAATTATGGTTCTTCCGGACCATTATAAAACATTCTCATGCATAACTACTTGTTATTATTTAGACATTTTATAATTTACACGATCTTTCTCCCGCGAATACAAATAGTAACTTTCACTAACTCTCACATGCTCAAACTTCAGGTTGAGATGTCAATGATTTAGTCACATAGACTTTTTAGAAGTTTGATAATAATTGCAATATTCAAAATATAAAATTTGTAGGGCTGGATATTTAAATATGTCATATATAAGTTCTTCAGGAACTTTTCTTACATGTTATTAGATCAACGTCATATATAATTGTATCACAAATATAAGCCCAACCATTGGAATATAAATATCTCTTTCTAATTTTCCATCAAAGTTTAAATTCGTCTTACTATACTATGGACAAAAACTCACATATAATACAACTATTGCATAGAAACTAGTGCATGCAATATGAGATATAGAAATCATGATAAGATGTTAAGAAAAATATACAATGAGTAATGCACCTAACAACTTCCTACGCATGCAATAAGTAATCCATTAACCTATAACTCACACATGCACATGAATATATGACTCAAAGTAATGCAAGACACTGTACAGTGTGGATTTAAAAATCCATATTCCATTGGACTTCTAGTCCATGATAAACTTTTGATGATTATCATTATATCGACATCAAAATAGACATATATTTTAGATCCCTTATTCACTAGTCCATTCTATCATGCATATGCGTATTATTTATCGGTTCCATCATATACCGGTATCATCATATAATTCCTCAAGATACAATTTTAATTTGCATGCTATTTTGACAATGATATCTGAATATATTTCTCATTGGTACCATCATAACTTTTCTTACATCATATGTCATCTATTGTAATAATTCAGATATCTATACCACTTTTGGGGTATTTCATACACTATGGTATTTATATACTATAACACTATTAAAAGTGTTAACTGCACTATCTTGTCATATATCATATCTTTATTTCGGACAAATCTTTGTTTTGGAACCGATCATACAACACTTTGGGTGTAGTGATTCAAGTATAATTGACAAGATTTTATCTCAATATATACACATAATATGACCAAAATGTATTTTCAACGCTATGCAACATGAATAATAACTGAATACAAATCCAATCATAAATGTGCAACATATCTTGATAATATATAGACAAAAGTTAGCATATAACTTTTCAAACTACCTTTATGGGGATCATCAATTTTTATTTTTTATTTTTTATTTTTTTCGATTGCTTTCCAACTTTGGCTAATTCTTCTCCCCCTAAGTTGGTAAAATATCACATTTATACAGGCGTCTAATTCTATACCAACTTAGCATTAAAATTCATTTCTTTTGGAGGATCACAATTAAAATTTATCTCTTAGATGATTTGTATTAAACAAGTTTTATCTCTTTTGGAGAACAATTTCAATTAACAATCATTTCTTTATTAACTTTACATTGCATGTGTATTTATTATTATTTTCCATAATATGTTCTCTTCCGGAGATCAATGTCAATGGGGAGACATGTGTTGTGCAGTGGTACATTTTTCCTTCTTTTCATATTTCTTATGTGCTGACATATAATAACCCCAATCAAAAGAATTGTTTATACAAGCATAAATCACTTGCTTGTAATTCTACTAGGTGGTGATCTTTTGGATCTTTAAAGACTTAAATAGTGTATTTGGTGAGGTTTTGGTCACCTAATAGTTGAGAATGATGTATAAGTTATTCTGGTGAACTTCTAGTCACCCATTACTCTTTCGTATATATAAAAATCACAACCTATTAACTCTTGAAATTTTAATAAACACAAATTATTATAAATCACAATCCAAATATAGCTCAATCTCAATGTTATGTCTTGCCCTTCAATTTATTTCATATATCTAACATTGAGAGAGCGTCAGCACATTATCAAATGAAACTTCAGGTTTCCATATGGGTAATTATTAAACCCGGATGACCTAATTTAATTATCACATCCAATCGTTTATCTAAATTTAAATTATGGTCAGTTTTCCAACACGAGTGATCACTTTAAATTATGAGACATAATTTATGCATGGTCATGAATATAATGTGATATAAGAATAATAATATGTATTTCTTTTTATATCCGGCAAGACAATCAACTAATACTTGATCTAATAATAACTCATATTCTGCTGGAGCACTGATTATAATCTTGATACATGCAAATTTTGTTGGACATTTTATATTCTTCTAGCGTATTTTATAATCATGATATAAATCAATTTTATTAAACATAATCTCTTCTAGAGATTTATCAGAATATATCACTCCTTCGAATTTGCCATTGCCAATAGTTGCTCCTTTCCTTTTTTTTTTTTCCGAAAATTCTTATAATTTGAATCTATTAGGCTACCACGCTTTAAGCGTGCTATAGGTTCATTAGTAACTGATGTTCCCTTCTGACATCAATTTTATTTGGAGCATTTACAACTATTATATATAGTCAATGACATTTATTCACATCGATCTTCAGGATGGTATAATTCTAGATGTTTAATAATTATGTGGTTGCTTCTATTAAGTAAACTAGTAATACTAAAGCTAATGTATGAGCCAAACTGACCATCATTGTATCTTATTATTCATATGCAAGGTTACATAAAATAATGAAAAAAAAAATACTATCTCCCCCTGATCCTTGCATATGGGAGTATGAAATCAATCCAACAACCTTTAATATCCCTGCACTTTTTAAATCCATATATATGAAAATTTCATTATTCCTTATTATTACTCTTTTCGATATTACTATATAATAGCACTATTTGGCACTTCACTACACAACTTGACTATTTCTTTATGAAACAATCTTCAACCAAGAACGGTATTAACATGGTAATCACTTGATTCAATCAAGACAGACCCAAAGTTAAATCTGTAACTAAAACAAATATATACATACTCCTGGACAAATACAATGTTTATTTCTAGTGAAATAGAAAACTGGCTTATATGCTTTAAATAGACTTTATACAGAGAATAACCTAGCTAGCTAAAGATAATTACAAATATAACAACTTAACAACTTAAAGAGATAATTATGCTCGAAGATAAGTATGCTAGGAGATAAGAATGCTAACTATAGTTGACTGTACAAGAGTTATCATATGTAAATAATTATGAGGATAATTATTTACAGTTGTTTTACTTCAATAAATTATTCAACCATATAGTTTGACTTGTAATTATTAATCCAACAAAAAATAATCCAAATAAAAGATTTTTAACCAAATATTTACAATTGAACAAAATATATTGGTCCTAAATTCCTAATCTAACGTCTTGCTTCTAGTGACTTGCAATTCCTCTTATTATAGACAGCTTGGTTTGTACTAGTATAATACTTTAACTCTTCATTACCAGTAAGATTGAAACAAAAAAAAGTAAGATTGAAAACCAAAAATTATACTTATGTTAAATCCTTAAAACTAATGCTCCTTACTAAGAATATCATTGAACAAAGGGCATAATAATAGATACTCTATTTCAATAGTCTGATCTGTATATACTCAACTTTTCATTAATCTCAAAGGCAACCAATACCACTAACAATTAAAATTAAGTTGACATACTATAACACAAATAATAATATCAATCATCATATGACTAATATGAATATTTCAAGCCGCGTCTCAATACTACGTACTGAAGAAAAGCAGAACTTAACATCATAATTTAACAACCTTAAAATTGAGTTCATGTAATTATCTACTAATAGGCTCACCAGAGTTGCTTGTTGTGTAGTAGTGGTACGAAGGATTGACAATGATTATGACACAATTTATTTATTGTTTACCAAAGTCTATCTTAGTAAAAATAATACGAGACATCAAAAACTTTGACTAATATATCCACCATCATCTAATAATGCTTATATAATACTCCATATTTTATTATAATAAGGTAGCAATGAAATCCTAAATCAATAGCATACAATCAAGCATAATAATCATGGAATCATAGGGAATAAACTAATAATACTTAGTGTTGGGCTGTTAGCATTTTGCAACATCTTCAATGCAGGTTTATCAAATTGCATTCTTCAAGCATATAAGAAGATTATACATAGATAATTTATTTAATCATTAATTTTAATAAAAGTAAGCATCAGTAAAACTCCATACAACATATATAACCAGTGGCGCATACCTATATATATATATATATATATATATATATATATATATATATATATATGATAAATTTCATACTAATTAATCCAATAAATACAAAACACTAACCTTGATGATGATTGATTTCCCTCATATTTTCGTCCAGTTAATCGGATAGTATTGGTTTTTTGTCTCTGTTAACTCAATCAATTATGATTGATTTTACCTTTTTATTTTTTTCTCGTCGAATAGCAAAGGTGTTGATAACATGTTGTGAAATAAAGGTGAAACATCAGAGATTGAGAGGGAATAAAATGTGTATTCTACTTGTATTTCATATTATGGAGGCATACATCTATATATACAGTACAATTGATAGGGTTTGCTTGGAGAATAATAAACCCTAAAATCTAGAAAGTCCTGGAATGATACAAGGGTATAATGGGCATCCACAAATATATTTCATAATACATTCATCTATTTTTAAAATTAAATTTCCTTAATATCAAACAGTAAACCAGCAGACGTCACATTCGTTTCATTCTTAAACCTTATCGCTTCATGGCTTACACATTAAAAAGGCGCATTAGGCAAACTATTGCCACATTTCACAGTCCAAACTCCAGAATGCTACCTAAATAAACATCCATTCAAAGCTAAAAACTGCAGATCAATAAACTTCATTTCAGAAAACCCCCATCCTACAGGCTGGTCCATATCTACATTTCCAGAATAAGGAATCGAGCTTAACGCATTGGCCACATCTTTCTCCAGGTTTTTTAGTAGCAGCTAGTTCTTCATTAAGCTTTGATATCTGTTTTACAACTTTTACTTGGCGACTAAGTAGCTCATCACAGGAATCCATCAATGGCTTGCTTTTGTGTAGTTGTACAGCATTTTCCACGTAAGGAACTAACCAGCCTACTTTAAAATGCATACATTGCAAGTCAGACAATGTAGTGTTCAGGTAATCAGCTTGAGAATCACTCAAGGATCGAACTGAGGTTTCTTCCAGAATGAGAACTGATGTTGCCAATGACTCTAATGCCCTGGAGACCATGTCACCATTGCGGATGATGCTATTTCTATCAAGTTTCCATGTTTAGACCATATATGTTGCAACGTCTTGACTAAGTTAGACCTTATATCAAGTCCTTTGAATTTGACAGTTGAGTTATCACTTTTGTTGCTCTGCTGAAAAGAACAAAATGAGCACAAAGGTCTTATTAGCCGTAAGAAATTAAAAAACTTAGGCAAGGGCAATTTAATTTAGTACCTGAGAGTTCATATGATTCCTTGACACAAAGTGAGTAAATTTGCTTTCCCCTGTCAAAGTTTTTAGATTAGACACTAATAACAAAAACTGTGCACAAAGCTTAATATTCAGTAATAATGATAAAGACTTCACTAAAAAAAAATTACCTTCCTCTGCTGCATGGAATTCATTCATGGCAAACATTCTTCTCACTCTCGCACAGGTTGTGTGGACATGGAGAAAGTGTGAAATTTGAGAATTAATAGAGAGAAAGGGGGGACCACATTTTTTGATGTAAAGTGAAGATAATATGAGAAAAAGCGAGGAGATTTTAAGAATATGATAGTTTAGAAGTTTGGGATATAGGAAACAATAGATACATAAATTACAATCCCCGTCTTCGGCAATCGAGCAATGCTTATATGACCAGTCCCACTACTTGCTACATCCCACTTTGATACGTCAACACTTATAAAGCTATATATTTCAAGTTCATATTATTTATGCACATTTCAATAACAAATGACATGCCAAGCAAGGTTCTCGACCAAAAATAAAATAATTTGTACATGCAAAAATCATAGCACATATTCTAAGAACAGATGAACATTGATATAATTCCAGCATGCCTCAAATTCTTTCAACACCAAATGCACAATTCGTCACAAAATCCAATCTACAATAGCATTTACTGAAAGACAATCCTCTTAATTTCTCTGTACTAAAAAATGCTCCTAAAATTCAACTGACAATGTATCTAACATTCTAACATGGACCAAATAATCAATCGTGTCCACATCCAATACGGCAAGGCAAAGTCTTACCACAAAGTAGATCCTAATTGCTATATGATGTAGTACAGTCAGCCCACCGTGCTAAAGAGATGACAAAGGAGATTAATATTTGATATAGGCAAGGAGATGCTTATAATTTATAATGTCAACACCTATAAAGTTTTTAAGAGCAATTTAATCCAAGTCTTCTACTTTCCAAATTATTGAGCCAGCATATCTCCAATAGTAAACAATATAATGGCAATACTAAACAATATAATGGCAATGCAATCCCTAAATCCTGAATACATGGGTAAAGAGTGAGAGAATATAGAGACGCATGCATGTCTCACAAAAAAAAAAACTCCTCTATACTACACTTTGCCCAGTTCGTATCTACAAAATATGTTTCAGAGTATCCCCAAACCTAGAGTAATGACCCCAACTGATCTCAGTTGCATAATATGGCAGATACCCAAAACCTAGAAAAACATTTAACTGACCTGAGAGTCTAGAGTAGCATGTGAGTTTCCTGAGAAAATTTACCTAGGTTCAATTTTTCGACGGGGATAAACCATGGAGTTTCAAGGCTGATATAAAAGACATTTGGAAGATGCTATGAGTACAATAGCTTTTTTTAAGGTTCATTACAAGATATAAATAGGAGGGACAACATTGCATTGGAATTAGTATGGAAAAACTAAGCTTGTAAATTCAAGAATACACATATAAATTGAACTCAAGGAAATGTCACTATGTGCAAAATCACTGGAATTATAATATTATATACAGCAGTTACTGCACACATCTTTCAATACCAAAAAGTGAAAAGCTAGGGTTAAATATACCATTTGGACATAAGCGCATTTGATGATAGCCAAGTTGGAGGTGGCCAGAACACTCTAGATTGATAAGATGCCAAATATTGACAATCACCACCATAAAAATTATAAGCAAAAAGTGAATCATCTTGATCGGGAAGAGAGGTTCTATATCCAGTAAAACAACCTCTATAGAAGACAATGCAATTGCCTTTCCATCCTTGAAAATCCTCCACTGAGGCAAAGAAAATCTCTTCAAAAGTTACAAATAGTATCTTATCATCACCAACCCCTTCAACTTCATCCCATTTTGTCTCGTCCTTGTTTAACTTATAAATGGTACAATCTATTCCATATCTTGTTCCATGCCTACACAATCTATCAATCAAATACAATTCTTGATGATCACTTGATACAGCTAGACGTCTCTTATAACATGAAAACTCAAGTATTGGCTTTTCTATCTAGAGCAACAACGATAAGGTATTGTAATCCATCTTAAAGACTCTGCATCTGCGATCAATAGCATAAATCTTTCCTTTAAAATTAACTATATCATCAAAATTCTCCACCCCTAGATAGGATTCCCGGAATCTCACCTTTAACTCTCGCTTGTCTTTAAGCCTTATTGCACATAAGGCCCCTTTATGATGTAAAACAATGGCAGTACAATCACCAATCGTAGGGTAAGTTTTACTACAATTAGGATTTACAAACAAAACCACCCTATTATCATTGAACTCTCGAAGACTCTTCTTCCCAAAAAATATCACTAGGAGCATCAACAAACCTCAACCTATGGAATGCAGCTAACTCTGATACTTGAATGTAAGATAAATCCAATTTCCTTGGGAAACTGGTGGGCAACAATTTAATGGCGATTGGTGAGAGGAATCTGCTCACAAACAACTTACCAGGGTGCAACTCTTCAGCAGTAAATAACCAGGGTGGGAGCTTAGGATCGAGAGTTGATCAAAAGAGTAAAACATAACTCGCCACTACAACCGGTGAGAAAGGACCGCTATCATCTAACCAACTTCCAGCGCAGGTTGCTAAAGAGTAGGGGATAATATGTTCTTTGAGGTGAGATCATGTAAAGTGATTGCTCTCTTCCATGCCTTACAAACTGCCCGAAAGTTCTGGGTGTCCGATCGACTCTCAAGGCATGCAGCAATTTTTGACAACAACTCCGGGGGCAAGTCTGACCAAAATACTCGCCCACGGCTCATTTTGGTGAAGTTAATTCAGTCCATTAATAATGCTCCTAAAACACCAGTGTTCAATGTACCCCTTCAGAATTCATAAACCAAAGATACACCATATATCAGATGTTGCAACATATTCTTAAAAATTGTGCTTTGTAAGTATGAAATGGGAATCAATCAAAGACTCAATTTTTTCATGGCATTAGGATATTGACATTGTAGCACTGATTTCAGATAATAAATATAAAAAAGAACAATTATAAATTCAAGGAATTAAAAGCCAAAAACATTAACGAAAAGCTGATAATACAGATACACAAAAATGGGTTCAAAAGCTAACAAATTGGCATGTAAAATTCATAGAAAAAACAAGTGAAAAGCAATGAGAATGAAAATAGTGGGGAATTCAAATTAGAAGTGAAAATGAAGTGGAAACAAATAATGAGAGTTTTGGAAGATATCCTTACCAGATTACAACTTCAAATTCTCCTCAGATTAATTTGCAAGGGAAGAAGCAACGAATTTGACCTCATTTCCTCATCTTCAATTTCCTTATTTCTACGTGGAAATCTAAATTAGGGTTATCGAGGAATAGCAGGAAGAAATCCTGAATTTGGAGGGAAGGCAAATGGTTTTTTCATCCGGGTATTCATTTTACTTTTTTGAGGCGTTTGCTCTTTTTTATTTTAATATTTATTTTTATTGGTAAGGAACACTTGACTAAACCAAACCCTTATGGTTTTTTAATTTAGTACTTCCTCCGTCTAATAATATAGTTCCTATTGCGTTATTTTCACAGTATTTTAGAAATGGAAGGAGAAGTAAAAGAAGTATATAAAAAATGGATAAAAACTTGACAAAAGTAATAGGCAAGTGGATAATTTAAGGGGAAAAAAGTAAAAAGTACAATTCTTGACAAAAATTAGAGAGAAAAAGTGGAAAAAAGTACAATGCAAGTGGATAATTTAAGGGTAAATTAGGAAGTTCAATGAATAAAGTTAAAAAAAATAAGAATATAATGGTCTTTACATACTATCCAAAAATAGAAATAGGAACAACATTTTGGATCTCCAAAATAGAAAAACAGGAACTATATTGTGGGACAAAAAGAGTAGTTGTGAGCTAGACACTTAGGAGTAGAGGCGAAGGTCAAGGAATCCTTACCTTGGTAGGATTTAAACCCCATAGGTAAAAAACTTACAAAATAAGACAACACTTTGTTGGTAGGTGTGCGTTCAAATTACTCATCTTAGGCCCCTAGCCCACACACGATATGTATTACTCTCTCTTTTCTATAGGTCAAATTTCAAAACATATCATTGATACAAATATTGTTATGTAAGATGTATATATCACTTTTGATTCAAGATATTTTGACGTAGTATATATTTTTTTTTTTGGGTAAGTAAGAATTTTATTACCAAAAAGGAGAGGAAAAACCTTGAAAATCCAACCTACACAGCCAAAAGTCCAAACAATACCAAAACAGGCTAAACAGAACTAAACCACCCTACAAACAAGGAACAAACAAACAGAGGGCTACCAATTACAAGAGATAGCTTTATCTTTCAAGTTGTAGAGCCATCTACACTGACTTCTAGTCCATTTACTACTAATAAGCTGCTGGCTTCTTTCAAGTACATCTCTGTAGACCATTTTGCACAGCTTGATTCTAGAAGGCTTTGTTCCTCGCATTCCATATATGATACAGCAAGGCAGTCAATGTTGCAAGAGTTACTCTTTTCTTCACATGATCAGCATGCCTTCTCTTCCAACTCTTCCAAGCTGAAGCAAGATTGTATCTCTTCAGTTGAATGTCAATCCAAGGACAAACTCTACTTAAGCAGGCCCTATTGTAAATACAGTCAAAGAACAAGTGGTTATGATCCTCAGTAGAATCTCCACACAGCAGACAAAGGTTCTCATCACAAACCCCAATCTTAATGAGCTTATCTCTGGTTTTCAGTTTCTCATAAATAGCCAGCCAGGCTATAAAAGAGTGCTTGGGAATGTTAAGTCTATTCCAAATCCACTCAGTCCAGTTGACTCTAGGTTTCAGGCCCTGTAACCACTTGTAGCCTTTAGAAATACAGTAGCTATTCTCAGTCCACTGATCATTTAGGAAAGCATCCTTCATATCATCCTTCACCCTACAGACTCTTTTCCAAGCCCAACCAGCTCCTTTACTTGGAGTGTAATTCCACCAATCTTTGCCTTTAATGTACACAGCATGCACCCACTTCACCCGTAAGGATTATTCTTTATTCCACGCAATCTTCCAAACAAATATCCCAAGGGAAGCACGATTCCAAGTATTCAATTTCGCACACCCAGACCACCTGAAGACCTGGGTAGGCACACCCAATCCCAAGCAATGGGGGGAGCTCTGGACATGTTTGCTAATCCATCCCATAAGAAGGCTTTACAAATCTGATTTATCCTTGTAATGACAGATTGGGGTAAGAGAAGGCACTGAGCCCAATAAGTGTAAAAACTAATGAGAACAGAGTTAATGTGAGTTAGCCTGGCTGCAAAAGAAAGGTTCCTAGAGATCCAACAGGCCACACTATTCAACATCTAATCAATCAAAGCATCTAAGTCATGAACTTTTAAATACTTGGAGTTAAGGGGAACACCAAGATATTTAAAGGGGAATTCTCCTTCTATGAACCTTGACTCAGTAAGAATATCAAATTTCACATCAGTATCCACATTCCCAAAGTAAATAGCAGACTTACTTTCATTAGCCTGTAAACCAGAAATCTTGTGGAAAATGTTCAAAGCTTTGATTAACAGTCTCACAGAACCAACATCCCCATGAGCAAACAACATCAGATCATCTACAAAAACTAGGTGGTTCAGCTTAAGAGTTTTACATCTCTGGTGAAACAGAAATTGCCTTTTTTGCCCGACTTTCCTGAGAAGCCTAGCCAAGTACTCCATGCAAATGACAAAAAGAAGAGGGGACATAGGATCACCTTGTCTTATGCCCCTAGCTCCTTTAAAAAAACCATACATGTCCCCATTAATCATGAGGGAGTAAGAGGGGGAAGAGACACAAGCCATCACCCATTGAGTGAACCTGTCAAGGAAGCCAAGGCTAAATAACATTTTCTCTATGAAGCTCCATTTAACTAAATCATAGGCCTTCCTTAAGTCAACTTTAATAGTGCATCTAGGGGCCTTCCTTTTGTTATTATAGTCCTTTAAAAGATCCTGACAGACCATAATATTGTCCAGAATAGACCTTCCTGAGATAAAAGCTCCTTGACCTTCTCCTATTATTCCAGGAAGCACTTCCTTCAACCTGCTACAAATCAATTTAGAGATGATCTTGTACAGGACATTGCAGCAAGCAATTGGCCGGAATTGATGAACATTAACAACATTCTCACACTTAGGGATCAAAGTCAAAGAAGTGGCATTAATCTGCTTGAGAAGCTTCCCATGATTAAAGAAATCCAGGACAACTTTACAAATATCAGGCTTAATCACTTCCCAAGTAGCCTTATAAAACCTACTATTGAAACCATTTGGGCCAGGAGACTTCTCCTCACCAATACTCCAAACAACAGCCTTCACATCCTCTACAGTAAAGGGCCTACACATACTCCCTTTTCTGGTCTTCAATGAGACAGGATCCCATTGCAATAATAGAAGGATGAATGTCCTTCTCAGCACTTGTATTCGAACCTAGTAAGTCAGTATAGTAGGACAAGAAAGTATCAGCCACCAAAGAAGGCTCAGTAATCAATTCCCCTGCCCGGTTCAAAGTACCACCAATTCTGTTTTGAATCCTTTTCTTCCTTATACAAGTATAAAAATAAGCAGTGTTTAAATCCCCATCTTTCATCCAATGAATCTTAGCTTTTTGCTTTAGAAAATCATATTTAGCTTTGTGAGCTGTAGCATAAGCCTTCCTAGCCTCAGATTCCTGAAACAGAAGTAACTCATTGGTAGGATCAGTATTTAGCTGACACTGAATCTCATATAACCTTTTCTCAGCTGCTGAATCAGTACTCTCAACACATGAGAAGTATTTTAGATTAATCACTTTAAGGGATTTTTTCACCATTCTAAGCTTCTGGATAACAGAGAAACATAGTTGTACCCCCAAAATCACTGTTCTAAGCATCTTTAACAATTTCTAGAAACCCTGGAGCTTCAGTCCACATATTGAAGAATCTGAAAGGTTTTTTAACTGTTTCAGTATTCTCCAAGAACTTCATACAACAAGGATTATGGTCCATAAGCCCCTCAGGTAAGAAGTCAACAGAGAAAGAAGAAAAAACCTCCAACCATTCCTTATTAATGATCACCCTATCAATCTTTGAATACACCTTCTCAGCCCCAAACCTCTTATTATTCAAGTAAAGAACATCCCTCCTGTTTTGAAATCTATTAGGTCATTAGCTCTAATACATTCCCTGAAATCTTCAACCTCCTCCAAAGTACAGGTAGAACCTATTCCGTCTTCTAAGTTAAGAATGTTATTAAAATCACCACAAATAACCCAAGGTCCAGAAATATCTTCATTAATCAGACCAATCTGTCTCCATAGACTCTCCGTCTCCTTCCTGGTATTAAAGCCATACACAACAGAAACATGAAAGGACCTTCCAGAACCCCTATGCACAACCTTACAATGAATAATCTGAGCCTTAACCATTATGACATCCACAGAGAAAACAGCAGGCATCCAAATAAACTACATCCTCCCAGCAGGGTGCTTAGAATAGTGAGCAACCACAGCCCAGGAGTTCTTAAAACCAGCAAACACAGACCCAAACTTCTTCTTTTTAACCTTCATTTCCAAGAGTCCAAACATACCAATACTGTGCTATTTTAAGAACCATAAAACATCACAGACTTTGCTTGGCATGTTTAAGCCCCTTACATTCCAAAGCCCACTCTATCCATGTAATGAGTAAGAGCATTCTTCCTCCTCCCATCCTCCATACATCACTTCCCCACTCATGGCTTTTCTGAGTCCAAATTCAGGTCTCCATACTTACTGTAATAATCTCCTTCTTCCCCTGATCCTCCTTAACCTTTGGACAGGTCTCCATTCCTTATATTGTCTTTTCAAATCCACATTATTCTTCCTCATATCCTTCTAAGCTTTCACCCTGTGATTTAGGCATTGCTCATGAAGATGTCCCGTGCCAGAACACATAGAGCAGTGCACTGACTTCCATTCATAGACCACCTTCTGAGAACACAGCACACCATTCTCATCAATAAACTCAATCTCCTCCTTTAATTCCTCTCCAATATTCACCTGCACCAACAGCCTAGCATAAGAAATTAGCTCCTTAGAAGCAGTGGCCCTGCCAGTTCGAATAGGCTTGCCTAGCTCACTAGCTAATTTCATCAATGAGGATTGACCCCAAAATTTAAGGTTCAGTCCAGGCAGCCTAATCCACACAGGAACCTCATTGACTTTTTCCTCACGAATGTTTAAACCAGGTTCCCATTTTTTCATAATAACAGGCTTCATATCAAAGAAGATAGGACCAGCCTTTATAGCTTTCTCCCTTCCCTCTACAATTCTAAATCTGACTAGATAAACTCCATTCTCCATAGTAGAAATTTTATCAATTCCAAACTTCCCCCACTTCCTTCGAGCAAAAGCATTCATTACTCTAAGAGGTAGTTTTGAACTCAGGATATAACAGATGATTGCCGAATTCCAAAAATTAATTTTAGACTCAACATCCTCCGAAGTTATCTTAACCCTATTTCCATATTTTCCAGCACAATCATGATGATCATTAAGTTTGTGAGAAAAATCTAATCCTTCACCCCTAACTGACCTGAAAATTCAAACCATTTCCTCCCATTATTTCGA